ACGACTATTAATACTACTGCTGCTGCGTCAACCACTTTTTCCCATCTGCCTTCGCGTGAAAATGGCGAGAGAGTGAATCCTAACGCAGACGGTTGTTATCAGTTATCGGTAGTTATCTTTGCGATCCGTTGTCATGTTCAGTCGGAATCACTGGTCAGGAACGCGGCTTCTCTTGGCATTGACACCGTGATTGGCAACTAGATATTATACCGCTATTTAATGACTAAATCGTTGCGTGATGTGTAGATCAGCCACAAACATGGAGATAGCCAATGTGTAAATCATAGATAATGCTGATGATAAGGGTAATCAGGCACGTGTTCGCAGACTCAAAGAAACGAGCCGAATCGTTTATCACCGTTCCTCCAGGGGTTTCCGTTAACAGTCGGGAAAAACGACAAAAGGGTTTCGTTTGTGAAGATTTACCAGAACGGGTAAGTTTCATGTGATTTTGTTTTCTTTTGAGGTATTATGAGGTAGAAGTATAAACTATGCCTGGTGATCTCAGATTCATAGCCATTATTGATCAAAATAAGATGATATGAAGCCTGTTCGTAGCACAAAGGGACAATTATCCTAATAATAACATTTTCATGTTATGCAATGCAAATGAAAAACAACGAGCGAATATTTTCTATGCATGAATTCATGAAGCACATTCGAAACTTTACGAAACAATGGCAAGACGTGACTGTGCATGGGTGATTGTATTTACGAATCAAGAAGGTTGTACTTGAAGTATATGGTGTCCCTATAGTATTATGTTTATATTTTGTTTTCGGCATTACAGATAAATACCTATATTTGTAGCACAGCGTGTGCAAACGATAAATCAGCTGAATTTTGGATGAGACTGGAAGGTATTGATAAAAAAAAAAAAAGAAAATCCGTTATTTTGGACATTCTTAAAACCCCGCACCACGCCAATATGCTGATTAAACATGCGATTGTTTAAGGGACGAGGTTGGTATTAAAAGTGCATTGCGAATGGCATTATTCATTCATGGTTACACGCACCCACGCATACAGCCACACTCGTACACACGCATACTCTCTCTCTCTCTCTCTCTCTCTCTCTCTCTCTCTCTCTCTCTCTCTCTCTCTCTCTCTCTCTCTCTCTCTCTCTCTCTCTCCCTCTCCTCTCCCTCTCCCTCTCCCTCTCCCTCTCCTTCTCCCTCTCCCTCTCCCTCTCCCTCTCCCTCTCCCTCTCCCTCTCCCTCTCCCTCCCTCTCCCTCCCTCTCTCCCTCCCACCCTCCCTCTCCATAGACACACACACACAAACACACACACACACACACACACACACACACACACACACACACACACACACACACACACACACACACACACACACACACACACACACACACACTCCCTCTCCCTCTCCCTCTCCCTCTCCCTCCTCCTCCCTCCCTCCCTCTCCATAGACACACAAACACACACACACACACACACACACACACACACACACACACACACACACACACACACACACACAGGGTATTGAGCAAACAAACATAAATTTGTACAAATGATTACGAATTTCACGGCATTTAAGGATAATAATGATGTTAAGAAAAGTATAACCATACAAAAAGAAAGCATAATGTGATAATTGCAGTTATGAAGCAGGGTTGCTAAAGCCACGCTAATGTGTAGCGTTCAACGTGGAATGCTGTCTTGAACACGTGCAATGCAATCTGCAAAGTTGCCAAATGCGTCTTTTTTTTTTTTTTTTTTTTTTTTTTTTTTTTTTTTTTTTTTTTTTTTTTTTAAGAAATGCTATATTCTCTACCAAGGGGATCGTTAAATGTATACTGGAGGTCAAATTTATAAATTCTCAATAATTTGTAAATATCTAAAAAAAAAAAAAATAAATAGATAAAAATTAAAAGTTCTTTTTAAATTATTATTGGGTCAGCTCCTTAAATTTCGCCAATAGGTCAACATTTCATTAAAACTCCCGAAATTTCAGAACCTCTGGCAATATTACCATCCCCCCCCCCCTTCTACCATTGCATGTCGCAGCTCAACTGTCTTTTCAGGATATATTCCTGTTTTCTTCCCGTACAGAGCTAGTGAGTTTATAATCTCACCTCCGTCTCTCTCACATAGAGGAGCCAGTGGTATAGCACACTCGATTGTCTTCTTGTCCGCGAACTGATTACTTTGACTTGCAGTTCAAATTTGAGGTTAGTAGACATAATGGCTGCTGTTTCCTCTTTATAATACTCTATTTCAATTACTATCAGTACCTCTTAGAATTGTTTTTATCAGTTTTTTTCCCCTTCATCTAAAAGACAAGGGGTATATAGAAAAAACTGAAACTCCTTCGAAGATCGACGAGTTCAAAAGATTGAGAAATCCTGCGTTATACAATCAAATATAATGAAAAATACAGCCCAAAAATAGGGAACAGCATAGGCAGTGTGGATTGGCAACTCGGCGCTTTCGCCATGGCATCCAGAGAGCAATGGTGCAATGCAAAGTGCTGTTGTTTAACCTGAGGAGGTTCCTATTACTTAATCATGCCATCAACTTGCATCTGCGTCGATTGGAGCATGATTAGTCTCTCGCGTGGCGTGGTGTTAGGGACTCGACGCAGTATCGGTTCAGGACCCGAGTTTCTACTTATCCGAGCCTTTTTTTTTTTAATCTTTATGTGCTGTCTGTGTCGACTTGCAAGAGGATGCTGTTCGACGCCGGATAATTTTCTTTCGTGGAGGAACATGGTGGGGTTTTTTGTGTGATGCGTGAAGACCGAAGGAGTTCGAGTTGCCTTTGAATGCATTCGCGGTCGGGGAGTTCGTGGAGCGGTAAGTTGGTAAGAATCGGAGAAATCAACAAGTGTGTGTGTGTGTGTGTGTGTGTGTGTGTGTGTGTGTGTGTGTGTGTGTGTGTGTGTGTGTGAGAGAGAGAGAGAGAGAGAGAGAGAGAGAGAGAGAGAGAGAGAGAGAGAGAGAGAGAGAGAGAGAGAGAGAGAACGTGTGAGTGTGTATATGTATTTTGGATTAGGTAATAATCGAAAAGTAATAGATTTTGCCAGCTCTTAGATTGGAAGTCAGCGTTTTACCGATTTACATTTTATGCGAATTTGCCGTCAAAAATGTTTTTAAACAAGAATCGACAAGGAGAATAGTTGTAGCCGTCTTCACAAAGCGTAATTATAGTTATTCTAATTACAGAAATCAATTAATTATGTTAAATCTATATGATTGAAATATTAATGAATTTACAAATCTTTACTGTTTGGCAAGCATGTCCATGTTATTTTTTTTATCTAGAAATTTATTATTTTTCCCAGAATTGTTGAGACAATAGATATCTTTCTTTCACTTACATTGCCTTAAGTGAACATTCAAATCTTAAATATTTGACTACCTGTATGTTTATTTCCTCCGCTAAACACAATATTTTCACTGAAATATATGCTTTCTGGGAATACATTTTGTACTGATATTGTGTATTTTATTGAGAAAATTCCGTTTTTTTTTTTTTTTTTTTATAACTGAGATTTTCTTAGGAAAATACAGTAAACCTAATGCTATACAGTACAGTTCAGAATGTACAGTAAGAAAAAAGGGACACTTATTTTATTCGAAACTGTTCAACTTTGGCAAATTGTTGTGTAAATGCGTTAGAATGAGAACCTCTGAACTACGTAATTTCATAAATTGAATTCCTTCTTTTTCTTCTTCTTTTTCGACTGTTTGAAGGATAGGGAATGAAACAGCATTAAATAGCCCAGTAAAATTATTTTTTATCACACACACACACACACACACACACACACACACACACACACACACACACACACACACACACACACACACACACACACACACACACACACAGTTGCTCTCGCTGGCCATTTTACAAGTGTCCTCCAAATAGAATATTCACACCGCACAGCATGCATACAAACACTATATATGGCAAAAAAGAAGCATAAACAAAACCCGAGAAAATTGATCTTGTGATATTTTCTCTCTGGACCTTTTACCATTGTTATCATTCCTGTTCTTATTTTGCTATATTTATCCGCTGTTGCCACCGTACGTTCGGCTGTGAATGTCAAGGTAGGCCTATGTTTGTATTTGTCACTTGGAAGTAAAATGTGGTTTAAAGGTCGTCTTCTCCAGTGATTAGAATCTAAAATATTCACATGTGTGTGTGTGTGTGTGTGTGTGTGTGTGTGTGTGTGTGTGTGTGTGTGTGTGTGTGTGTGTGTGTGTGTGTGTGTGTGTGTATAGAGACAGACAGACAGACACGCACACACACACGCACACACACACACACACACACACACACACACACACACACACACACACACACACACACACACACACACACACACACACACACACACACACACACACACACACACACACACAAAAGGACGAAGAGGTAAACAAAACTATCCCCGCGAAACGGTCATCCAGACATCGATCGTTCACTGTACGTGGGTAGTCGCGGATTGAATAATACACTGTAACAGCACTAGTTGGTACCAAGAGCCGTTACATAGATCACTGTTACAGCACTTAACTGTCGTTCGGAAATTTATATAAGTTTTGTGCGGAGGGAATGTGATAGGCTAGTACCTGAAGGAACTTCCTTGCATATTAAGGTCATATTCCTTAGTGGTTTTCATTACGCGGATCCTGTTAACTCTAAATTTAGATCATGAATTATGTATATCGAACTAAGCTGTATTTGCGTATGAATTCATGTATTGAAATAAACACGTTTTTACGTGTGTGTTCATATATCGAACTGGGCAGTATTTACCTATGCAATATATGAATTAAAGTATCGAAATAAACACTTTTTTACACTTTTTTACGTGTGTTTGTGTATCGAACCAGACATTAATTACTTATTGCAATATATGAATTATTGTATCGAAATAAACACTTTTTTACTTGTGTTTATGTATCGAACTAGGCAGCATTTACCTATGCAATTTATGTTTCATATTTATTTTTGGTATTTCCAGGGGCGTCATGTTGGCGAGGCGACAGTAACTCTGGCGAGAAGTAATTTATTCATCAAGACCTCTTCGTCATTAAGTTTTCGCGATGGTAAGTTACTCAAGAAGGTCAATCTAGTTCTTGTGAATCGGAACTTCCTTGCATATTTTGTATCATTTTGTTTTACGGGTGTATCTCTTTTTTACATATTTTACTATTTCCATCTTGTTGATGGAACTGTTCAAGATAAATAGCCCTGTTGACCTAAAGGAAAAGTTTTTTGTTTTTTTTCCTTTTTTTTTCGTTTTCTTTTCTCTTTGGATCATAAAGTCGCATATCCATTCCAACTCCGTCTGCCTTACCAATACTCTTCCTAAATGCTTGAAACTTACAGATATTTACAAGTCGAAAAATTACTAATGCCTAAGGGTAGTCAAAGGGGATAAGTCAGGCCAAATTAAATACCGTAGTCAAAAGAGTGTTTTAAGCAAATTACAACTTATTGGTAAAACGTCTATTGCATATTTACGTCTCGGTGATAAACTGATCA